GATTATAGTATACAGGTTAAATAAGTTACATTCGAAAAATCTAGAATCCTAAAAATTCTTCTAGATTGGGTTTTGCCCGAGGGAATAAAAGGATAATACGCTAGCTTGGGAGCATGAATTCTTTTGGCTATATGAGCTAGATATAATGGGGTCTATAATGGATACACATTATTTTTATTTAATATTTTCAAGAAAATAATATTTACAACAAATTTATAATATATAATGGAGCATATTTACCAAATATAAAAGAGAGGATATAGTGGGATTTATGTACTCTTTCCTTTCAAAGTTCAATCACTAAGAGGGGTACATTGTCCGACATGCCCGTTGTAAGGAACCTTGACTTGTTCTCAATTGCGCTTTGTTGCAGTGAATCCCTAACTACAACAAACCCAATTGAAACCAATTTACCAATTACCAAAAAACCAATTTTAAGAAAAATCTGGCAACATCCATGGGCAATTGGCAAGCAGTTAGTTTTGTTACCATTGGGTAAATACAATGGTTACTTCATAACCGCTAGAGAACCAATGATTCTCATTTCCACTGCTATCATTCTAACCTCTATTGTCGATTCCATCGCCAACAGAATTGCTGATGAAACCACTCGAAATAGGGCACAAGAGTAGCCAGAGTTTTACTCAAACCTTTGATCTTAATCTCTAAAAAAGCTCGCCCTCACAGGATCTATTTTATATCTCTACAAAACGAGCTTTCAAAATCCCACTTAAAGTGGCTTTCATATGATTAAAATTCCCTTTGACAATAAAAGATATACCCATAAGGGCGATTTTGGTTCATCAACCCAACAATCTCCAAGACACTAACCATGACAATGATCAAAACTGACACTAGGTTGTATACAACACTTTAGACACATTGGCCCTTCCATCATTAAATTTTGAATATTAGCTGAAATGTTTTTTATAAGGTGTTTCTTTCCTTACATCCTTTTGTGAAAGCCCCAAACATTTTATTCACCTTGCCGAATTTTCCTAGGTCTTGTTTTGTTCCAGTAAGATCTTTCATTACCAAACCTTGAACCCTTTTAACGAGATTTTTCTTTCTCCATAACCACATTTATCTTTTCATTTATAATTTTACTCTCTAATAACTTGTACAAGTTTCTTTCTTGGACTCCCTTGAGCCTCCTTTAAAACTTTGAATACTCCACCTTGCTTGATAAATTTGTAAAAAAAAGTGACATCAAACTCTAATTCAAATATGGCAGATTACTTATATCTTCAAGAGTTCGAATGATGCATCAGATTTACTTGTGCGAGCTAGCTCATTTTAATCGTTTTGCTTATTGAATTGTTTTGATGCTAAACCGCTCTCATGTGACTTATATACATCAAACCACCATATATATGGCCATATATGATGTATTGATCCACTATCAAGAACCTAACTTTGATAGTCTATGGGATTACATCCTACCGTCAACACATCATCTTCAACATATTTAGATGTTGATTCATGAACTTGGTGAGCCCATTCTTGGCTTTACCTTGTTAGTAATTTTGGTTTTAAAAATGCTCAAGTACAATAACTTTGGTTTTATTGTTCTTTCCTAAAATGCTTTAGTAGAGAGAGGAAGATGTGGGTTTGAGTCCCACATTGAAGATGAGAGATTTTATTGGGCTATATTTAAGAACACACATTCCCATATAATATATTCTAAGTAGAAGGAGAGAGAAGGCACATGTGCGGAGCACTCGAAAGGTATGACGCACACGTGTGCGTGCATGTTTATGGGCGAGGGTGTGAGTGCTGGGGTGCTTGATGGTGCACACATGAGGCTCCCTTCGCATGAGTACGTGTGTGGGTCGGGCTCGTTATCTTTTTGTGAGTCCGACTAGTAGGGAGATCCAACAGTCATCTAGCCATTGATGCGTATGGAACATCTAACGGTCATCTAGCCGTTGATGAGATGGAGGCTTGTAACAACAACCATCAAGTGCATGTAACTTGTAGCTGTTGGGTGGTGCATGTAGTCACCACAACATTAAATGTGCAACCTCTTGGTGCTCTACAATACGGGCCCTCCTACTCATACGAGTTAGACACTTTAGAATAATTTTTGAGTCTTTCAACATCACACCATGCTTTGCAATTCAAGCAAACAAACCAGTAGGCTAAACTCTATCTTTCTACTTGATTTTCTCTTTTTCCCTCTCTAATACATCAAGACTCTGGTGTCTAGTGTGTGGGTTCCAAGCTTGGGTGCATAGAGCTTAAGAACATTATCAAAGACCTATTTGTTTTCTTGTATCCTGATGACAAACTGCCCATTGTATGTACATCAAATACTATATCGAAGGGGGATAAATATCGTCTTGAGATAGTGCTTCTGCGTGCCCAAAAACAAAAAGAGTTCGACCTTTCATTTTTACATATCGTATCATTTTCTGCCCTCATTTTACCCAACCAAACTCAAACATACCTTGTCGTTCCATTTTATAGAAACAAAATATTACAATTGTAGAATATTACAGGAAAAAAAAGTGCATATTGCCATTGTAGAAGATAGGAAAGTGTAAATTGCCATTATAGAAGATAGAAAAGTATATATTGCATTTAACAAGATAAGAAAATGCATACTACACCATTGTATTACCATTATATATACAATGAAAGAACCACCATAACCAGTGTTGGGCATAATTATTTTCTAAAAGAGTTCTTCTCTCTCTCTAAAATTCTTTTTGGTATCAGAGCGATCATCGACACCAATCCTTAGCTTCCATGGTAGTTGTTCCTCTATTCAAGGTAAGTCTCTCTCTCTCTCTCTCTCTCTCAATACTAAACTCTCCCTTCCATTTAATATCCCATTTTTTTTTTTTCACTACATGTTTCTCAACTTTATTGCAAACCATCTAAAGACGTCATCTTGCAAACCTTATTTGCAAACTTGCAAACCCTTTCCATTCTCTCTCTGTACTTATTTGGAAACTTTGCAAATTTGTTTCCCTGATATCCAACTCTCTCCCTCCATTGCTTTTTCTCTAAGATATCATCCTCCCTCCATCAAGCCATGTTATATTTTATCTATAATAATCATATCATCCAATCTTCTTTTTTATATACCCAATTTTTCCAAAAGACAAAAAAATCTAAATCCGCTCTCTCTTGCCCTCACATCAAATATCTCTTCGTTCTAATGGACGCTTTATCTTCATCAAACAAAGATCCATACCCCTCCACCCTCAATATAGGAAATTTTGTACCTATTAAATTGAAAGAGAACAACTACTTGTTATGGGAAACCCAAATTGTGTCTTTAATTGAGAGTCAAGAACTTTTTGGATTCTTTAATGATGATTGCCCCCCACCAAGTCAAAAGATTTACTCTCTTGATGGTACGAGTGAAATTGAAACCTTGACTACAAATCATGATTAAAGTCCAACAGGCAGGCCATTATTAGAAGAGTGTCCTAGCCTTGTTGTTAGCCTCAAGACTTTTGCAGATGTTTGGAAATGCCTTAAGAATGCCTATGCAGGTAATTCTCAAGCTAGGGAGTTTCAACTTACCCAGCAATTCCAACTCTATAAGAAAAGGAATTCAACCTTATCAGAGTATATATGCAAATTTAATAGTACTTGTGATGATTTGGCAGCCATTGGAAAACCTGTACCAGATAAAAATAAATGTATTTTGACTTCTTAATGGATTTGGTTCAAAATATGAGATTTTTGCTACCACTATGCTTAAACCTCTTATTCTTTCATATTATGAAATCATACCTATTCTTCAAAGCCAGGAGATTAGAAATCAGCCCCATATCCTGGAAGAACACTTAGATCCAAATCGGAATATGGATTTTGTTGGACAACAAAAATATTTTGTGTCAAACAAAGGTAACCGAAATTACAGAGGTAGATGGAGAAACAATTTTGCTGGTCAACAGTTCTTCAACTCTTGAGGTGAGTATGTTCAAACTAGCTAGATCAGTAATGTGGACTATGGGGTGCTGAAGAAAAATCAAGAAAGTGGTGTTACACTTCCTATGTGACATATGGATCAAGGCTTCCAACAAGATTTTCAGATACAACAATCATCAGATACCTTGAGAAAAGTGTCAAATTTGTGGGAAATTTGGACATAGTGCATTGAAGTGTTTGTATCGATTGAACCAAACCTACTAAGCAGAAGATACTCCTCAAGCCCTTGCTTCAATGACTATAGTTGATTGACAAGACTCAGAATGGTTCTCGGACACAGGTGCCTCCACTCATATGATAGGAGATCTAGGGAAATTGCAAAATTTTTATCCTTATAGTGGTACAAATATGGTTATAGTTGGGAATGATGAACAATTAACTATTTCACCTGTTGGTGATACAAATATTGATATTTTGAAAATTTAATGTTTCTATGTTCTTTTGGTACCTGAAATGAAAAAGAACTTGTTATTTGTTAGTCAATTTACGACATATTTTCCTTGTATTTTTGAGTTATCGTCAAATGATTTTCTGATTAAGGAATGAGCACAGGGAGAACACTGGCCAGTGCAAGTAGATAGGGATGATTGTATGCACCTGAAGTAGTGAAACAAGCTTTACTTTCTAATCAAACTAGAAGAACATTAGAAGATGTGTGGCATCAACATCTTAGACATCCTGAAAGTAAAGTTGGTCGCTATTTAGAATCTAAATAGTTGACTAATGTTGATGCATGGAATAAATCTCATTCTGTCTGTGTTAATTATCAGATAGAAAAAAGTTGTAAGCTTCCCTTTAGTGGTGCTGGTAAAACCTGTACTGAACCTCTCTTTAAGATTCGTTCGGATTTATGGAGCCTTGCTCCAATTTTTTCTAAGTAGATTTATCGATTTTATGTGGTGTTTGTTGATGATTATACTCGTTTTACTTGGATTTATCTTTTGAACAAAAAATTTGAATTTTTAGCTGCATTTATGAAATTTCATCTTATGGTTGAAAGGAGATTTGATAAAAAAATTCGACTTTTTCAATGTGATGGAGGTGGTAAATTTGATAAGAAAGAATTTATTGATAATCTTTATGACAATGGAATCATGCAACAATTAGCATGTTCGAGAACCCCTGAGCAAAATGGAATAGTTGAAAGGAAACATAAAAATATTGTCGAATTGGGCTTTACAATGATATTTCATGCTAGAGTTCCTATATATTTTTAGGTTGAAGCCTTTCATATTATAGTATTTGTTATCAATAGAATTCCCTCTACCAATTTAAAAATGGATTTACCATACTAACTATTGTTTGGATGCTTACCAGACTACTCATCACTTCAAGTATTTGGTTGTCGGTGTCTTCTATATCTTTGAGACTATACTACAAACAAATTTAGTCCCCGTTCTCTTCCTTGTGTATTCTTGAACTATAATATCCAGCATAAAGTCTACAAATGTCTACATCCACCCACAGGACGAGTCTATATCTTTAGACATGTTGTATTTGATGAAAATGTTATCCTTATATAAACCCCAATTCTTTGTTTGATAATGCTCAGGTTCGGGAGGAACTATCCTCTTATGTAGAATGGTCAGAGTGTTATGAGCCTGACATACATACTCATTCCTATTCTGATTCATCACCTCTATATAGACCACCCATACAGGACATCCTTGATGTATCTAGTCCCTTGGGACCTACTTTTCCCATCAACAATGATAGCTCTCCAATTTCACATATAGAAGAAGATGTCACCACTACAATAATAATACAAGATGTCTAGGATGATACAACACCCAATCATGGTACTGAAAATGTTGCCACGCAAGAAACCAACCAATCTAATTTTTTACCAGCCCCTAAGCATCATCGTCATCACATGCTTACAAGAACTCAAGATGGTACTCGAAGACCTTGGGTTCTCCCATCCATGGCAACAATCTCAAGTGTTTGTTTTTTTGAAGCTATCCCTTCTAAACCTAAATCCATCAAGTCTGCCTTGGGTCATCCAGGTTGGTATTATATGATGGAAGAGGAAATTGAAGCCCTACAAGTTAATTCATGTTAGTTCCACGTCTTCCAGATATAAATGTTGTTGATTGTCGTTGGGTCTATAAAACTAAATTAAAGTCGGATGGTAGCCTTGAGAGAGTTAAGGCCAGACTAGTTGATAAAGTATGTAATCATATTGCTGGAATTGATTTCTATAAAACATTCAATTCTGTTATTAAACCTGCTAGTATTTGGATTGTGCTCACCATAGCTACAGTGCACCACTGGCCTTTCAGACAACTTGATGTGAAAAATACGTTCTTGCATAGCTTTTTTAAAGAACTTGTATTTATGAAGCAACCTCATGGATTTGTGAGCTCAAAAGATCCAACTCATGTATGCAAATTAAAGAGAGCGTTATATGGTCTTAAGCAAGCACATCGGGCCTGGTTTAATCGATTTAGCACATATTTATTATCATTGGGGTTTAATTGCAGGATCACTAATTCATCTCTATTTGTTTCTCACACTATTGAAAGTACTACTATCCTTTTCCTTTATGTTGATGCTATCATTGTTACTAGTAACAATTCAGATATTTTAAACTGGTTCATTTCCCAATGTAGAAGGAAATTTGCAATGAAAGATCTTAGACTTCTTCACTACTTTCTAAATTGTATGAATATGAAATTTGGTTCGTGCCATCTTCTCATTGGGGCGCATCTATAAAAAATATTAAAAACAATTTTTTGATAAAATATAATAACCAAAACACCCCTTGAATCTTTTAGGGGTATTTTGGTCATTTTATTTTATTGAAAATATTTTCTTTTATATTTTTCGCTAGTGCGAGTTTACTAGAGGAATGGATGTCCAAAATTTGGTGTCAAAATAGTTTTTAGAAAAAAATTAAAAATAAAATAGAGTAGAGACGTGACATTGTGAATGGGGCAATCTTAGCCCTCTATTCAGAATGGACGATTAGATAAGGGAGAGGATAGAACTTCTATGTTGCAGGGAAAGCATAGAAATCTTGCCCTTGTCTAATTACCAAACCAGTTAGATCAATGAAAATTATTCATAACAATTACATATTGCAAAAAGTATCCTAAATAAACATAAAAAAAATGAGGTTTTTCCAAAATCGAATTCTTGTTGGATTAGACTGAACCAGTTTGGAGTCCAATAGGTGGCCCAACTAGTTGAACCTACTAAGCCGGTCCGGTTTTGATGACACTTAGGGAAACATATTGATCACTTGGTTATGTGCACCAAGGTTTATGATACACCTCACTTTTACGTTCTTCATCACCAAACACTACTGGTGTATGGTATTCTTACCATGTATTTGTTTGAAGTTTTGTAATGGTGCAGGTCCTGCGTGACTTCACTTGCCACAGGGGTTTCTCAACCGACTAGGCTTACATATGGACCTGAAGAAGGGTATGTATTATCTAAAGCAAAGTAAAAGAAAAAGGGAAATTTATCAAAGAGCAATTGTTTTATGGGTATGTATTATCTAAAGTAAAGTAAAAGAAAAAGGGAAATTTATCAAAGAGCAATTGATTTATGCGGACTGGACCGTATTTGTACAATATGCGATCCAGAGGTATAAAGCATCCATCTTAAAGATGATGCAAATAGGTGGTTCATCTAAAACAATTGTAACTAATGGTCCAACTGTTTTTTAATATAATTATTATTTTTAGTTTTAAAATTTTATTTATTTTTTATATTCATGATCTCCATCTTAAAGATTATATATTATCTAAACATTGGGATCAAATTATATTTAAAAAATATATCTATTGCCAGGCCCACATTTCTACAATATGAGGGCTGGCCGCATGCTAACCGTGTCCTTTATCAAAAGACCTGTTAAGAGATGAGCTAATTAATACTTTGCATACTATTTCAACTCATGAAAAGTTCTTAGAATGCCTTTGATTAATCTAAAGGTAAAAATGATGCAAATAAAAAATGAAATAATGGATGAAATAATTTGTAGTCCGTAGGATCATTGATTATTTGGTCTCTCAGGGTATATCTGATGAAAGTTCTTACACTAACTTTCACACCTTGTGGTCCTTTTTTTTTTCCTGATTAGATTTTGAATTCTAGGAAACTTGGATTGGATATTCTATCAGAATCAACATGGATCATTGTCTTGCTTGAATAAATTTTTATTTATTTTAATAATAGAGCTGAATAATATGATTTTAGAATGTGGGGTCAATCAGGTCGCCACTGCACGAGTGTTCACCCAGGTACACCCATTCTTTGTCCAAAAATAAAACATCTGATAGAGCCCAAGCATACCAATTTGTTTTAGATGGAAAATTAGACTCCTATGACAAACAAAGTACACAGTAGATTACCTTTTCATTTTATATGGTATTTTTGGGGTCTCATTGAGTTGCAGTAGAATTCAATTAGGGAAGATATATATATATTTTTTGGTAATTTGCAGAGTTAGCTTTTTTTTTTTAAAAGGTGTCAGTGAGTGGGTGGTGTTAACAGGATTGAAAACTACAACGTGGTAACTAGGTATGAGGGTGCTACTCCACAACCCAATCCTTTCCTAAGGAAGAAGTTTACATAAGGCTGTAACCTTATACTATAGAAGTAAGGTGCACCTAAAAATCCTATAAGAAATATTGTTCCAACGTTGGAAAATATTCCAATTGATCATTTCAACCTCAATATGAATGAATATATAGGAAAAAAAATTTCAAGTCCAAAAGAGAGTGCATCTTGTAACAAGTTATTTAGATCGTCTATTTTCAAAAATTTTGATTGTCTATAAATCTACTTGATCTACATGGGTTTTAAAATTTTAAATTTCATAATAAAGTTTGAATATAAATTTTGAAGCTATCAAAAAGTTTATGAAACCAAAACTACATATTCTTGCAAAATTTAAAGGTATGCCTCAGTATAAAGTGGACACTTTATACAAACCTCACCCTTTAATTCGACATCTATTATATATGTTATCCATGGCAATGTATAATATTACTTTTACACAATATTTAACTAAAGAGAATGATAATTCAAAATAAATAAAGTAACAAAAACAAAAGACCAGAAAAAAAGGATTATAGATGAAAATTTATAATATTTTATTAAAAACTAGGTTGTTCTTCATGTTTTGATAATGGTGCAGGGGAGGACTACGTTGTATACATAGGAAAGTGCTGCTGGAGGCACTTGGGGAGGACTTGAAGCCGGGTACGATTCGTTTTTGTTGCCATGTGGCATCAAACCAAACACTTCCCGATGCATCTCAAGCAGTCCACTAGGAGGATGGCACTACCATCAAACCCAAGGTTCGAGACCATTCTCTTATTTATTTATTTATTTTTTTTTGTAAAATAGTTCGGTGTCAATTTTGTATAAGAGACACCTCAAAAAACCTATAGAAAACGATTGCTTTGATAATTAAAAACGGTCAAATTTATCATTTGAATATCGAGAAGTATGGATATAAAAAAGAGAAAGTATATAATGAGACTATTATCTTTGGTACGAAGTGATCACAATTAATCTTGACAATTAGATGAGAAATTGGATGACTGCATTTATTTCATAACCAAGGTCAAAGTTCAAAAGAAATTTTCTTGAACTTTGTCATACATCCAAGCTATCACATTTCACATTAGATGGTTATAAATAATTGTGACATTCCTATAACAAAAATAACTGGTGCCATTGTATAAAATCCTTATAAAAAAACTAAAAAGAAATTTAGTTTTGAAAATAGTGGCTTGGATGGCATTATCTAGATCATTTAATTTTAAAAAACTTTAATTGTTCATAGATTTGTTCGATCTGTATAATTTTTGAACCTTTAAATTACAATAATTAGGGAGAACGATAATTTTTTGTATAATCGTAAGGCTTTGCAGCACCGAAACTTTATCTTTCATCATAGTTTTGAGGTGCGCTTTACTTCAATAGTTCAAGAAGAACAAATCTCAGCCTTTTCCTTTTTCATACTTTCAGAGGCTAATGTTCCGCATATGCAGCCCTGAAGGAAAAAGGTTACCATGCGTGAAAGAGAATATGTTTATTGTCTTGTTTAAGATAACTTGGTTTTCTTCGATCTTTGCCCTTGCATGTTCTAATTTATCAGGATGGCATAGTTTTACTCGTCTATTTAAGGTTAATTAGCTTGTTTGTGCCACTTCGATAAACAAGTGCCAACCGATATTTCTTGTTAACCGCATAATTATGATAAAATCCCTTGAATACATCATCTGGGTCTTATCCCAATTATTTGGGGCCCGTTGAAAATATGAGAACCCAAAATTTTTATAAACTTAATATAGTTATGAAACTGAATAGGATTTCGATATTTTGGTATACGGTTCTAGTAGGTTGTGACGGGATCCACTCGGTGGTGGCACAATGGCTCGGCTTGCTTGAACCGGTTCACTCCGGCCGATCTGCGGTCCGAGGAATTGCCTTTTACGACAATGGACATGGTCTCCCCCGACATGTCCAACAATTCTTAGGCTGTGGCATGAGGGTTGGTTTCATTGATTTATTGGTTCACAACAAACAAGGCGCGCCCACAAGTTAAATAAACCATTACTATGAACCCGTATATTGATGAACCGAACCCCTGGTTTCGTATTGCCTGGTCGTAATTGTGTGATTCGTGTTCCAAAAACTAGCATCCGGCTCTAATTATCTGATTTCCTATTTGCTTGGTCTTGATTTTTGTTATTAACGAGTTGGATTGGGCGATACCTAATCATTTTTATTTTATTGAAGTGAACTTGAAAGCTTGGAGACAATCGATTCCAAAATTTTTATCCTGCCAGCCTCATTATCTGGCCCGACTTAGGGTGTTTTACATTTTGGGCAGGAGATTTTCATGCCACTGACTTACATTGATGAAAGGAAACGTCATGTGGCCATATTCCATCATTTTGTAGGTTTTATGTTAGGGTACTCATACATGTGAGTATTTACTTAATGGTGCGGTTTGTATCGAGCAGATTCTCTAAACAATCAAAGTAAAGCATACCTTCAAATAGTGTTGAAAAATGTGTTTTCAATACTGAAAATCTTTGTGATAGACTTTAAATAAAAGTTTCATCTTTAATTATAAAATTTAAAGCTTAAAAAATAGTGTAGATCGAACAGATCTATAAAAACTTGAAAATCTTGGAAATCTAGGAAATTGAACATCAAAAAATGTGTTACAAGATGCATTATTTCCAACTTGAAATCCATTTTTTTTTCTAATGTCTATGTATCTTGATGTCGAGATGATCAATTTGAGGATATTTGAGCATCAAAACAACATCTCCTAATGCAATTTTTGAGGTGGGCTCGAGTTTGATTGTTTAGAGCCTCGACTATATATAAACCTTTTCCTTTACTCAATATTTTGGATATTTAATACTTTTACTCCGTAATGTAATAACTTTTTGTTTAAAGGTATTTAAGTAATTATTCATGGGCAAAGTAGAAATTCATGATATAAAGAATACCATTTATTAACTGTCGTGGAATATGACATTATCATGACATCATCACATGGAGCAATTATTACATCTTAACAACTAATAAATGCCATTAGTTTATTAAAAAAATATCCATCATACTCTTCTAATGACAAAAAATACTTTTACTAAAAAATATTTTTATTACAAAACAAAGACATGTGAGTATAAAAAAAAGTTTGAATACATTAAGGGAATACTCATAGGCATGAGGACCTTTACACAATCGTATAAGTAATGGAGAGAAAATGTTATATATATATGGTATTCCATATGTATTTGAGCCAAATTTTTTGTACCTTGTGTACAAAGAGAAGTCCTAAGTTTAGCCATTTATGCATTTTCCAGAGGCAGAGATCAAGGAAACCCAGAGTCAGTCCGCAAAGACGCAATGGCAAGGTTGGGGGAAAACTTCCCATCAAAATTCTTGGAGATAATTGCAAATACAGATCTCTCCACACTCACACTGGCACCCTTGAAGTTTAGGTGGCCATGGGACTTAATCTTTAGACCTGCGAGCCGAGCCAATCTCACGGTCCCGGGCGATGCCATGCACCCTATGACACGGGACCTAGCTCAAGGTGGGTGCTCTGCCTTAGAGGATGCTGTTGTATTGGGAAGACACTTGGGGGGAGTTTTTCTGAAGAAACATAAATTTGAAGGAAAAGAAGTGGAAGTTAGTTTCAAGAACTATGTTAAAGAGAGAAAGTGGAGGGCAGCTGGTTTAATACTTGGGTCTCTTTTGTCTAGGTGGGTTCAAGGGGATGATGGATGGTGGTTGGTGAAAGCTATAAGGCATAAGGTGTTTTATGGGCTTCTTTACAGTAAACTTTTCAATGTCATTGATTATGACTGTAGGGTGTTGCCAGCACCTCCCTCTTACTTAAAAAGTGGTTTGGAGAGACAAACTGAAGCTGTTGAATTTTAGTTTAGAGGGCCAGATTTCGCCTTTTATGTGTGTTTGGACAACTTACAACTTTATGGATTGGATAATTGTAATAATGACCACGTGGTTTGAAAGTATATCCCATGTAATATAAGAGACTTCTTGCTTTTATAATGCGGTTAGTAATATAATACATATTCTAAGAAATAATGAGGATGCATTTTTTCTCTAACCAGTATCTTGAAGTGGTATTGCCATTGTTTTGACCGTGTTTGAATGATTGACTCAGGCCGAGTACTTGGCCTAGGCCCGACCTGAGTTAGGCCCAAGCCCAAAAGTACTACAAGAAATCCAAAGAATTAAAGTAAAATTAAACAAATCACATCTAAATGGGGTTAAAAAACTAGAAAAAAATGGATTTTGAAAAAATCAATTTGGGATCGGTATTTTAAAAATAATCCAAAAAGACGGGGAAATCGAAAAACAAGTATTAATGGCCAAAAATACTTTTCAATATTTACCGAAATGACATAAAACATAAAAAAATAGATTAGAAATAAATTCATTATTTTTTAAATTTTCATAATTTCTTGTGAGTTTTTTTTTTTTTTAAGATCCCCAAGTTAGACATCCAACTTAGGTATACTCGGCTTGCCCAAGTAATCGAACACCCGTTTTGACAAGATTTTTCGTATGTCAGATTGTTTTTTTTTTTTCAATTGAACTTGATCCTAAAACAATACCCTGACCATTATTGATAACGATCAAATAGAAGATATAGATAAAGAGTCAGAGAATCACAACTTAAACATTTAAGAAAGCCTAATACTCCTTATAGCTGTCGTCCTTATATTTCCTCTTCAATATTTTCCTTCTCCACAATGATTGTGCTAATCTTGTGTATTATACAGTGCCTAATATATCTTTCAGCTTACAAATCATGCACATTAGCACGATTTTTGTGGCACATGAGAAGCATTCTCATATAAAGACCATGGGTAGGGGTGGCAATAAGCCGGGTAGCCTGGCCCGGTCAGGTCCTAAAAAGCTAAGGCATGAGCAATTTAGCCCGAGGGATGGGCCTAGGCCAGATCAAGACAGGCCCGACTAGGCCTTTATTTATTTATTTATTTAATCTTTTTTACATTATTTTCTTTTAATTTTATCTAGTGCGGCCCAAATAGGCAGAACCAAGCCTGGGCCAGCCCTCAAGGTTATAGGGCCGTACGGGCTAGCTCGGCCCAACCCTCCCTGTTGCCGGCCCTAAACATAATAAGTTCAATCTCTATTATTCATTAGCTTCTCATGATCATGCATCAGACCCTTCATTGTGTTAGTGCAATTCGTTATTGGATTGCTACTATCTAAGGGTTGCAATGGGCGGGCCAGCCTTGGCCCTGGCACAACCCTAGACCCCATAGGGCCGGCCTAGGCTCAGCCGACAAGGGCCCTAGCCCAGCCGTCGGGCCACAATTTGTTGCCTAGGACCCACTTTTTAAGGCCTAGGCCGACTCGGCCACCTGGCCCATTGTCAACCCTACTATTATCTAGTACGACTAATACTACATGGGTGCGATTTGTATAGAGCTGAGGCTCTAAACAATTAGAGTAAAACACACATTCAAATAGTGTCGAGAAATGTGGTTTCAATACTGGAAGTCTTTGTGATAGCCTTAAAATATATTGTAATTTTAATTAAAAAATTTAAAGTTTATTGAGTAGATCTATGAAAATTTGAAAATCTTGAAAGTTGACAGTCCAGCTACAAGATAAACTTTTTTTTAAAACATGAAATTCATGTCCATGTTGATGTCAAGATGATCAAGACATTCGAGGATAAAAAAACAACCTCATCTATTGAAATTTTTGAGGTGGCTCTAATTTGATTGGTTTGAGCCTCGACTCTGTATAAACTTTTTCCATACTAAATAGAGATATTATCATATTTAGTTACAAGACATGGAGTGCTCAGACCTCACCCATCTCAGCGAATGATTGGTCATAACGCTTGTCATTAAGCATGCTAAAGATTTAATTAGGTTTACTTTAGTTCAAATTAAGCGCCATATTATGGGCTTATTAGGCAGTGTCAACGAGTGTATAATGGTTTCCCTGCCACGTAAGAACATCTTAAATGGTCCGCACAAATGAAATACGAAATATTGCATAAGAACCGGAAATAATTTGTGGTATTACTACATGGTCAAATGTTTTTTCCAATTTTAAGGATAGGTCTTTTTTGTATTTTTTAGTTCTAATTTTGCCCCATTCAATCTTGCAATATTGAATTGTTTTTTTTTTGTTATTATTTTTGTGAATTCTAGGGCAATTTGACGCCTCATATATCAACCCACTCCATTTCTGAGGTAGCTCAATATTAGAAACATCGGACCATCATATGCTTATTTTTAATTTTATTTTTGAAGTAAGAACCAGTCGAAAGCTAGAAAGATTGTAATGTATTTAAAAATAAAAAATAGAACGATATGCTATCTCCAAAATCAAACCGCCCCTTGCGTCGCTACTCCATCTCAAACTTCAGCGCGAGAGAGAATGATACGATGGGTTGACCCCAACTATCAGCATCATGTCCATGCCCATGCCCATGTCCATGCCCTGTGCGGTCTGAAATTGATATGAAGTGTTGGCTCCCCCCCCCCCAAAGAAATAGTTTGAGAAGGAAGAGCAGGGGGTTCTCTCACCCAGGTTGGAGTTCGGGTGATCACTTCGTCAACAAGCGGCAATCTGATGTTTGATGTTGGAGATATCGATTTTTTTTTAATTTATTCTTTTAGATTTAAACATATTTTAAAAGTTCCAACTCATTCATACTTAAAAAAAGAAATTTTTTTTTGAAATGGGCCATTTTGAAGTTTCTACTGTCAGGCCGCCACAGAAATAAACTAGTCTAATATCTGCTGGGGCATTGGACTGCCCTAGAAATAACAAAAATAGAAATAACACAAATAAAAGGAAAGTGTGATTTTTGCAATATTGAATCAATGGAAAAATTGATATAAAAAACAACCAAAAAAAAAAGGGACATGGGACAAAATTGGAAAAAGCTTTTTACCTTACGGTAATTTGGCAAATTATTTTTTATCCGTCTGTAAGTCTTCCAAGCAAATATCTTCGTGGGAAATATTTCATGGCTGGCGACACAACATTATGTAGCGTGGCTACCAGTTGGTACCCATTTGACTAATCAAGATAGCACCCTCGAGCTACGTGATGAAGTCTCCGACTTCATTTTCACCAAATGGGCGGGGAGCCTAAATCACCACTGGCTTATCTTTTGTTTTTAGAGAAATATATATGTATATCCTATTTTGGTATATCATTACCCAACAGATCCAAAGTTTTAAAAGATTTTTGATGCAGAAAAATAATAAATAAAAAAATAAAATAAAAATGATTGAGAGATTATATTCTCTATCTAGGTTTGCAAGGGAATCCACCTTAAGATCTTTTCACAAGATCAAAATACTATCTTTTTTTTTTTTTCAAACACTGTCTCTACAAATAATGGACCTCTTCACTTTAAATATAGGGAAAATTGCATATAACCCCTAACTTTCTAGACAGCCTCCCCTCAGCCAATCTTTTTATCGTAACTTTTACCCCAAAATGAACATTTTTAGCAAATACCCCCAAGTAAAAGAGGCATCATTTTCTTGACAAAAATGCCATTATCCGTACATGATGGTGTCACATCCCGTAGGGTGCTCAATGACTAGAAAGAATGTCGGACCGAGTCGACAATATGCAGGACCGAGTGCACATTGTTACACAATAATTGCCTGACCAAATGGGGACATTGTCGGACCGCATTTTGGGCCTATTGCTGGACCGCATGAGCATATTGCCAGACCGCATGAGCCTATTGCCAGGCCCCTCTTTGGTTGTGCCGGACCACGAGCCTATTGCCGGATTGCTCTTTGACAGTGCCATACCGCTTTGGGATATTGTTGGACCGCTCGTTTATATTGCCGGACCACCTTTTTGTGTGTGTTATGGAAAAAGTTAAGTCGTCAGTGTTAGAAGAGAGATATAGCCTTTTGGTCCTACAAACTATGACTTTTTGACTTGGGGGTATTTGATAGAGAATTTTGTTTTGGGGTAAAAGTTGCGATAAACAAAATGGTTAAGGAGAGGATGTAAAGAAAACAGAGTCAAGGGATTTATTTTAATTTTATTTTGTTTTTTGTTTTTTGTTTTGTAATTTTCCCTTAAATATAAACTAAAAACACAATAATAAAAATTAAATAAAAATAAAACTTAAATTCCATCTCCCCTTATCTCTTAAAAACAAGTCTAAGATATCTTAACCAAACTCAACCATATTAATCCCTATATATATATATATATATATATATATATATATATATATATATATATACTACTTAAACTTAAAAAAAC